GCCGGTGCCCTTGCCCGCCGCCCCGGGCAGCGGCCGGAGGCCTCGGAATTGCAGCGCGCGGGTTCACGTACGGAGGGGCAGCGTCTTCCACGTTACCGAGGCGGGGAGAGGGAAGGAGGCAGCAGGTGCTGCAGACAGAGAGGGATGCGTGAACCCCCCTTGCATCTAAATAGAGGTGTTTGGGATGAGAAGCTGCGAGGGACAAGTGTTTTTAGGAGGCCAAGGAAGGGAAGGATGCGCAGGGACCAGGGGTTACGTTAGCGCGTCTGCCAGCTGAGGATGGCAACTGGTTTCTTCCTCAACAGGTTTTCTTGGCACAGCTGGAGCAGATAAATGGGGTCGTTATAGGAATTACCTCTGTTTTGGGCGATTGCTCTCAGGTGTAACCTTAAAAAACAAATGGATAGTGGGAGGACCATGTTCTGCTCCAGGATACGTTCTGCACCGCTGTTTATAGGTGAGGCAGAAAAGTTATCGGGGCTTTTAAAGCCATGAATTGTCCGTAAGGGGGTTGTTGGTTTGTTTGGTAAAACTGGCGACTTCAGGTTTGTTTGGAGCTGTGGGCTGTGTGTAAAACTGACCCGGACAAATGCAACCCTGGTGGTTATTACCGGTAGAAACGCTGACTTGTGGTAGACCACAGCAGGCAGTAACTTGATATTTAGTCCGAGTCTGTAAGTAAACCTGAGGTCTTGGAGGTAATTGGTTGCTTTCCTTCACATGCTGCTTTTCAGCTCTTTTCCTAAATCAGCTGCACGGTCAAAAAAGCTCATGAACGCGAGCTCTCTGACCCTATAGCGTTAGCATTGTTTAATGTGTTCTGATTGTAGGCAGGACGGGCAACAACGAGCCCCAAAGAGCTGGATCGATGCATTCAAACAGCGCCCATTGTCTGCAGGGGTTTCTTCTGCCATCTGTAGCTGCGAACGAAATGGAAATAGCTCTTTTGTGTGGCTCGAGTATTGTTGTGGATTTGAGTGATTTGCATAGGAGGCACCGTTCTTCCCTCTCTCTAATCCCTCATGTAGTATTGAAGCGATATTACTGAGTGTGGTTTATGCTTTGTGGCATCTGGGGTTGTCTCGGGAAGGGGTTATTCCTCCCGAAAGGTGGAGGAAGGGAAGCGAGGCCGGCTTGGCGGACCCGAACCGGGCAGGAAGGGTTTGGTGCCCAGGGCTCGGGGTTGTTCTCTGCTCCTCGGGCTTCCCCGGTGCTGGCCCAGCCGCTGCCTTCCTGCCCCGTTTCCTTATCTGCCAAAGGGAGACCAACGCCGCCCTCCCGCGCGCTCGGAACGGCCTGGAATAACGACGCGGATTCACCCAAGGAGCCGAACGCCGGGAGCGAGGGGAGCGCCCGGATCCTGCTCCCTTGGATCCCACTCCCGGAGAGCGGGACGCTCCGGCGTTCCCAAAACACCCGTGGCTTTTACGGCACCAAACACGGAGCCCCGCTTCCACCGGAGGAGCGTAACGGGACGTGTCGCGCTCCGCCGTGGGAGGAATCGCGGCTCTTCCTGCCAAATCCGTCCCGTTAGCGCGGCAGCGAGCGTGCCGAGCCCCGCGCTGGCCGCCTGCCCGCGCCGGGTGCCGGTTTTTTTTTTTTGTGCAAGCCTTGGAATAGCCGCTTGGAATAGCGGCTAGCGGGAAGTTTCCTGTGACGCGGTTGGGAGGAGGAGGCGAAGGGCAGAGCCTGGGCTGTCACCGGGACGTGTCCCGGTCCCCCTGGGGATGAGCTCGGGTTTGGAGGGCCACGGGGGTCTGTGCGGAGCCCAGTGTGGCTCGCGCTGGCCGTTGGGCTACGAGAGGGGGGATAATCCCGCAGTTTTGTCACTTGGGGAATGGGAAGGCTGTGGGGCAGGATGACCCAAAAAGGATGGTGGCATAAAGAGCAGAGAAAGGGTTTGTAATTGCTGGGGATCATCGTATGAGGAGGTGGAGTGAGAGAGGGGAAAATGGGCCTCATAAAATACTCTTACTTCAAACCCCGTCAGAATTCTCATATCTGCGTTATGGAGCGAGGTACCGAGATCCCAAAGCTAAAACGTGCTGAAAAAGCCGCTTCTCTCCAGTCCTTCCGACCGGCTGTAGCTCCGGGGTGCTGCTCCGGGTGCCTGGCAGCGCCAGTACCGGTTTCTCCATGTTCCCAAGAAATCAAAGGAATCGAGATACGAAGATCTGATGCTTGAACTTTGAAGTGGCAAGCGCTCTCTAATTGCTCAAGTATCATCCAAATTGTTTAATCTGCTTAGCCACGGAGCAGGAATCTTCCCGTCTCCATGGGATCCTTGGCATATAGTGGGATATAGTGAAAGCAGGAATTCCTAAGCTGCGGAGTCGGGTTGTTTTTTTGGCATTTTGTGTGTGGTTAGTGCCCTGGCCTGTTGCCCAAGGGAGGTATCGCTCTCCTTTATGGGTTCCCCAGCTTGATGTGCAAAACATCCAAAGAAATTAAGGGAAAGTAATGGGAAGGGAACAAAACTAGAGGGACATGTAAATAAACTTTGTTCCTGCTGTGTGATCTGACCGTGGTAGTAATAAGGGAAAACCAGGAAAGCTCAAGAGGGGCATGTGTTTCTGTGTGTGATTTGTCACATTCTTGCTTTTTTGAGGATAAATGGCTGAATTTTTAGCGGTTTGCAGGGTCGGAGGGGCCAGACTTTGCTCTGGAGACCTGCAGGAAGCACCTGGGTCTTGGGCAGATGAGGTTTGTCCCGGGCTGCCCTGTCCTGTCCCCGCATGTCCCCTCTGTCCACTGCTGTCACATAGAAGAATCCACTTTTATCTGCCCTTCTCTGCTCCCTGGTGCCCAAAGGCCCCTTATGCAACACGGCCCTTGTTTTCCTTGCACTTTCAGCGTTTCAAGTTGAAGGGTCTGAAGTTTCTTCCCAACGCTCCTTCCCACGTTTCCCATCCGCAGCCGACCTCCGAGCTGGTACCTGCTGCAAACGCTCCCCGCGGCGCACGATTGCACCGATCGCGTTTTGTGCTGCTGCTGCTCCTCCGAAACACCCGCGAGGCCACCGAGCAGTGTCACAGCCAGACTCGTGACACCAGATTTGCTCCAAAAGGCTGAGCATGATAATCCAGGTTAATTTTCAATGTGCGCCTTGTGAGACGGGAGCGGTTCCGAAGGTGAAGTGTGGTTAATCTCGGACTTTGTTTTCCAGGGCGCAGGAGCAGGGCTTTTCTTGGGAATGTGCTGCAGATTCAGCTGAGGCTCCTTTCTTTTTTTTCCTTCAAAAACGCTTGATATCTCCTGTAGTTTTGGTTTAGATTTTCTCAAATGACTTGAGTGGGGATTAGCCATGACCCTAAAGGAGGAAAAGATTAAGTAAATGGGCATATGGTTATGTCAAGACAGGAACCAGGAAATTTAGTAAGGACTGTGCTTTTGCTGATTTGTTACATCTTTTTTTTTTCGTATTGATTGTAGCAGATAAAACTTAACTACACAAACCCATATCGTGTTTGTAGAACTGAAAGCACTTGGGAATTTGTAGTTCGAGCTGTTTTCTTGTTTGTTGTTAATGGAATCTGAAGAAGCTGTAAAAGCCAAGGAAACTCCTGCTTTAAAGAAAGAGCAAAACCAAAGAGAAGCTGCCAAAGAGGTTTCTGGGGGTTGCTTTTTGGGTGCTGGCCGCTCGGATGTGGCCGTAGCGGTGGCAAAAGCAGAGGTTTTGGTTGCGGGGTGGTGGGGGGACCTCGGTGCAGCCGGGACGGACCTCGTGCCCCTCTTCTCCAAAGGCTTTTTGCAACTTAGCCCCTTCAGGGAAAAAAAAAAAAAAAGAATCTATTTTTATACACGTAGAATAGTTTGGGATTTTTGAGCCCCGAAGGCTTTCTGTCCATTTCTGCCTCCTCGGCTTTGCGGTTTAGACCTTGTGCATTTTTATTCTTTCTGTGCTTTAACCCTTTCCCAGCTCCTGCTCGGTTTTTGCTGCTGTAATCGGCAAAGAAGCCCTTCCCTAGCTCCAGATGTGCTGCAGAAAGAGTTTCGAGGTGGTTTTATTCTCTTGTAGTCATGGTTATTCTCATTTCCTCCAGTTTCAGGGTAACTTCTCTTTTGCTGGCAGCGGATCGGTGTTTATGTGCAATAAATCATGACGTTTCACAGCTTCTCCTTTCAGTTACTCGCTATGAATTATGGTACCATTTCCAAACACAAATGTTGTGAATTTAATGTTACTGCGTAACTTTTCCACAAGGGTGAAAATTCAGGCATGAGAGGCTTCGCTTTTTAAAGACAGATCCTTATTTAAGGAAAGAGATTTTTTTAAGACCAAGCGATGTGAGCATCCTGCTTCCAGTCTTGGAGTTGCGCATATAAAGGTGGTCGTAGACGTGGATCCACTTCTGGCTCTTGCAGAATTGAGCACGTGGCACCGGGGCGTTGGAGCAGGTTGCTCCAGGGAATGTGTCCGCAGGGATCCAAGGGAGTCAGCGTCGCTTTTCCAGGCAGGTTGCTCCAGGGAACGTGTCCGCAGGGATCCAAGGAATTTGGTGTTGCTTTTCCAGGCAGGTTGCTTCAGGGAACGTATCCGCAGGGATCTAAGGGAGTCGGTGTCGCTTTTCCAGGCAGGTCACTCCAGGGAACACGTCCATAGGGATCCCAGGAAGTCGGTGTTGCTTTTCCAGGCAGGTCACTCCAGGGAACGCATCCCCAAGGATCCAAGGAAGTCGGTGTCGCTTTTCCAGGCAGGTTGCTTCAGGGAATGCATCCGCAGGGATCCAGGGGAGTCAGCATCGCTTTTCCAGGCAGGTCACTCCAGGGAACGCATCCCCAAGGATCCAAGGAAGTCAGTGTCGCTTTTCCAGGCAGGTTGCTCCAGGGAATGCATCCGCAGGGATCCAGGGGAGTCAGCATCGCTTTTCCAGGCAGGTCACTCCAGGGAACACATCCGCAGGGATCCAAGGGAGTTGGCATCGCTTTTCCGGGAGCATCCCAGCTCCCTGACCCCTCACCCTTGGGACAAAAGTGGTGTTAATCAGATAAGGAACAACATGAGGTTTTTGTAAAGTGCTTAAGACTAGTAAATAAAAGTGTAACAGCTTCCTGGAACTGGGTGTGCTCTCTGCTGAGAGCTGTGGTTTAGATAAGCGTTGAGCAAGTCTTATTCTTTACATGAAACGTTGGAAGGTTTTGGTTTTGAAAAGCAAGCAAGGATTGGAAGAGTATGGTAAAGTAATATTGAGCAGCTGAAAGCAGGAAGATTATGTTAAAATAAAGTAATATTGAGCGGGTTAATCTCTTATAAGACTTGGATTGAAGTGCCGTTTGGAGAGGAAGGTCTGTAAGCCTGGAAATTTGAGAGCTGCTGTTTTTTAAACTGACTTTTTTCTGTGTTGCACAGAGAATAAGTCTAATTTTGCAGGTTTCTTGTGGTGGGCTGCCCATTCCAGGGAAATGGAAGGTTCCAGGTCCCTGGAATAGCAATGAAGGAGCGTGTTAAATCTGTTAACCAAGGACACTTCACCTTGTTTTCTTCAGCAAGGGAAAGATAATTGCAGGTAGGATGGAATTAAATGCTGATCAGAAGAGTGATTCAAGGT